AAGGCGTTACATGGTGGAATGAAGCAATTTAACCGTAAACTAGCTGCATGTCCCAATGAAAGTTATTTCAGGGGTATAGACCAGCCTAAGTGAAAAAGTGGGCTTCACGTAGTAAACAGAGATATTACCCTATTGTTTCGTTCTTTACTAGCTGTTGTATTTGACCCCTTAAGTGTCATGGGTGAATAAAATTTGCGTCACCTCTTTTTTATTGCAAGTGTCTGCACCTTTGAATGGTACAACACCGAGACATTCCTCAAACAAGACAATAATTTTTACTAAAATATGACAAAATATACCTTGTAAAGCAAAAAGCAAGGTTGTTGGTACTTTTACTCTGCCGAAAATTTACTTTTGACGCAAATTGTGCTCTATAGCTGTCTGGGCGGACAAATTTAAAAATGTATGTTGATTATGACAAAAGTCGAGCAATGTGACCAAAAAAAGGTATTTTATGCAAAAATCCTCATGCACCCTACTGAAAGTCACCTATTTGCTTTTCGCAAAAGATTAACTTTTGCTCCAAATGATTCAAGCTGTGCAACAAAGAAGAGTTCCCCGCAGAGGTGATTTGATGAAACAAATTTGAGCCAAATCTTGGGTGAACAATTTACATTAGCGTAATAAAAGCACCTCTTTGAAGTTACTTGCTTCAATTTTGGTTTGATTTACCAAATTTAAAGGCCAATTTAGGGATCCTTCCTGTACATAACAAAAGCACTATTTCGTAAACTTTTACAATTTATTATGTTGTTTTTAAATGGGGTGTAAAGAGAACTCTCACCACCTTATAATTTTTCAAAGAAGGGTTTCTTCGTCTTTCAATAAGTTAGTCATAGTTTCCGAAAAAGTTCATTGAGTTTTGTATACTATGCAGTCTGGAAACCATACCCTTTCAGGTCCCTATAATTTAAAATAAGCCCTCAGCATAAATGACACCTGTTATAGCAGACAGCGAATGAAATTCCCCAACTAATTACTTGTCAAACTTGCAAGTTATGTCTTACTTTAAAAGTCTGGATTAATTTTACTAAAATGCTTTAACTTTGGGCCTGAATCTGTTGTTCGAGTGGATCTTAAAGCATCTCCTGTCTAACAGTGTGGCAATGTATTAATTTTGACGGCAAAATCTACACACATTTTATCTTTTTCTCCTGGGTAGGCTTGCTTTACTTTATGAGTAATTTGCAATCTTCTTCAAAATATGCATTACCGAAGAGTGAGTGGGCTAGGCAGATGATCAAACAATTTGATTAGGCATATCATGATACCTCATCTTCTGGACTCGTTAAATGGTGTTATTATTCATAAAAAAATTGCTGGATGTGACATATCTTGGACGACGAAGTATTTTAAATTTTGAGCTGCGTAAGAGAAGTGGTTTGATGATAATGGAAATACCTCTGAAAGTAATCAACTAATTTTTGCTTAAGAGGGAGGTTTATGGGCTTGATTGGTTTAGCTGAAACTGAGGACGTATGCAAGTTGAATTTTGCCCAGATAACATCTTCAAAAATTCGCAGGTATTTTCAGCCAGGAAGGAATCACGTGCAGCACTAGGAACAAGAATTACCATGTATAAACCCACATATCGTACTTAAATGTAGCGTCACAGGTCTCAAAATGAATACATTCTCTCTCAACTAATGATGCAAGAAAAGTCTGTTATTTTCTCCTTCCAGAAAAGGATTATGTGAGTCGGTGTCAAATCATCAAATTTTGACTACCGATTAGTTTACTGTAGTTGATTTAAACTAAAGGTTTCCCAAATTTGGCTTATTTTGCCATTAATTGCATAAAAACTGTAATCCTTCGGAAAGATAATTTTAATATCAACTCGAATACAGTGCGAAACATTGCCATTTTAGTAAAGTTTAAAAATTGCTAAAAAAGCGAAAGGTTGTTTAAATAGTTAACAAAATAACACCAGTATTTAGAGGATTTTTCTACAAGTTTAGGCAAATGTTCAATATTTACTCTAAAGGGAAAAGCAGCGTACAAATTAAGTTCCTTAATGCAAACATAGTTGCAAACGTGACAACCAAATGGGGCGCATTG